TGTCCCTTTGGGCGGGTGTTGTGCTGGCTCTGTCAGCCGAGCATGGCCCCGGCTGCAGGACAACCCCGCTGGCGCCGCCGTCCTGCCGGGGCCGGAGTTGGGGGGATGTCCTTGGCCTTCCCTGTGGGCCGGAGGCAAATCCCCTCCCTGTCCTTCTTGCTTCCTGCCCCAGGCCCCGAGCTGAGGACGGAGAGCCCGGAGGACAAATCCCCCTGTGAGACCCTGGTGGGAGAGGCCGTTTTGAAGGGTTCCACGGCACAGGAAGGCAGAGGGGAGGGAAAGGGCCGGAGATCCCCCCGCAGGAGGGGCTCCAAAGCCAGCCCAGGGTGCTCTGAGAAGGAAAGACCCAGCCTGTGCCAGGAAGGCGACCGGAGCTTGAGGCGGAGCTCTGACCTGGTGGTCCCTGAACAACCTCCCAGCAGGGAAAGGCCCTTCAAGTGCTTGGAATGTGGGAAGAGCTTCAGGCAGAGCTCCAGCCTCCTCACCCACCAGCACATCCACTCTGGGGAACGGCCCTACACTTGTGGGGAATGTGGGAAGAGCTTCAGTGACAGGTCCACTCTCCACACCCACCAGCGCATCCACACTGGGGAACGGCCCTACACGTGTGAGGAATGTGGGAAGAGCTTCGGGAACAGCTCCCACCTCCGCACCCACCAGCGCATTCACACTGAGGAACGGCCTTACACGTGTGGGGAATGTGGGAAGAGTTTCAGGCACAGCTCCACCCTTCGCACCCACCAGCGCATCCACACCGGGGAACTGCCCTACAAGTGTGGGGAATGTGGGAAGAGTTTCAACCAGAGCTCTGGCCTCCGCACCCACCGGCGCATCCACACCAGGGAGAGGCCCTACAAGTGTGGGGAATGTGGGAAGAGCTTCAGCCAAAGCTCTGGCCTCTACACCCACCAGCGCATCCACACTGGGGAACAGCCCTACAAGTGCTCAGAATGTGGGAAGAGGTTTAAAATCAGCGCACATCTCCTCCAGCATGAGCGGACACACACTGATGAGAGGCCCTTCCGCTGCACTGACTGCGGGAAGGGCTTCAGGCAGAACTCCACCCTTATCTCCCACCGGCACATCCACACTGGAGAGAGGCCCTACAAGTGTGGGGAGTGTGGGAAAAGCTTCACCCACAGCTCCAACCTCCGCATCCACCAGCGCATCCACACCAGGGAACGGCCATACAAGTGTGGGGAGTGTGGGAAGAGGTTTCAGACTAGCTCAGATCTCCTTGTGCATGAACGGACACACACCGATGAGAGGCCCTTCCGCTGCACCGACTGCGGGAAGGGCTTCAGCCAGAACTCCCACCTTGTCACCCACCAGCGCATCCACACCGGGGAAAGGCCCTACAAGTGTGAGGAGTGTGGGAAGAGTTTCGCCCAGAGTGGACACTTGACCAAACACCAACGGACCCACCAGTAAGTGAAGCCCTATCAGTGCCCCGACTGCGGGAAGAGCTTCGGCCGCTGCTTCCACCCCGAATGAAGCCCCTGATGCTAAGGCAACCCCTGGAGCCCAGTTACTGTCAGTCCATCCCTTTCGACCACAAAGGGCCAGTCCCCTTTCCCAGGGGCAGCTTCTTCCAACAGAACCCTTCTTGGGGGTTGTGTGGAAATTCCTGCCTTTCCAGGGTCCTGGAAATTCCTGGGGACCCCCCAAGGTCACTCCTGGAGGTTGAGAGCAGAGATCTCCCCACCAACGCTGGTCTGGGGGAGTTCCATTCATCTCTAATTAAGAATTATTGCTTTTGTGCCGGCTTTAGTAGAATTGCTTCAACAATTGCTTTAGTGTAGAGCACTATCCTATCTTATCCTGTACTCTTGGTAGTTTTGGTGTTTCTGTTGTGCAGTAAATAATTCTGATTAAGATCTTTTCTCTCATCACTTATAACTGATGCCTTAAGCCTCTATTAGCTTTTATTTTTCTAATTTTTGTAAGCCTTATAAGTTTTATAAGTAGTAGAAGTAGATTTTAAAAGCAGCAGCCCTCACTCCCTTTCCCTGTAGTACAAGTAGTTTACACATTCCTTAGCCCTCTTACCCCATTCTATGCTCCCCATATCAAATATACCCCTGAATTCAGTGGCAGTGTTTAGTCTCTTATCAAGGCAAGGCCTATGCTGTTTAGAGAACACCCATATCAGGGCCTGAATAACAAAACAGAGTCAAGAACTAGGTGACTATGTACCCCTTGTGCTCTGAAGATGGTGAAGATGATGAAGGAAAGGCCCCCAGACCCAATTCTCAGGGGGTGGACCTGGGGCAGATCAGAGCAAAGGCTACAGGGTGGACATACTTGGGATTGGACGGATGGTGTTATAAAATCTAACATCTCGGGCACAGAGGCGCACGGGTCTTGTAACACCTATTGCCTTGGCACAATTAAACCCTTTCCTTATCTCACCCCTAATTAACTGCTCCTGAGTTATTTTTTAGCATCAACATTTCACGGCATCATAACCCTAAGTAAATTCATTTCTATCAGTGGATCTGATTTGCCATCATTAAAACCT